AATGCTTGCTTTAGTGTTGACTGCCAGTGGCAGGTGTTAGAGTATAGGATTAAAAATGACCGAGGATGAAACCTTCTGGATAAGTTTTAGCTATCTTTGTTGCTCACCTTGGGATAGGAATGAAGGAACCTTGTGCCTGTTACCCTTAGGAAAAATTAATTTGGAGTTCCTGTACACTAGTATATTTGGATAGTCAGTACCAATCATACAGAACTGTAATATAAATGTGAAAAAAAATTATAACTGGACTGAAGGCAAAGAGCTAAAATAATTGTGTGCTGCAGGGCAGTGAATGACTTGGCCCGCAGATGATTGGACTTAAAAAAAAAGAGCACGACTTTGAATAAAGGTAAGTTCAGAGGATGTCTGAGAGCATGCTTTTTTAGGTTTGGATAGAGGTGACTTTGGAGGATGCTCAAACTCATCTCTACTGTCCACCTTTGGAAGATGCTAGCAGCCTGGCAGTTTGTGACGTCAGTACTTTGAGTCTGATATAAATCCAAAACAAGCATGTGGACCAGGAAAGTCTGGGTGGGGTCACAGCAACTAGACTGAACACTTGTTCCAGATCATTGACCAAGAAAGCACTGAAGTAATTGGATCAGCTGGACAGCCAGAGAACCTACTTTATTAGGGGAGGTTAGCAACAGCATGCATACCTTTGCACCAATGTTTCTTTTGATGCACTAAAGAAAACAAACAATATAGTCTGTCTTTGTTAGAAATCATAATGGATAGAAAAGAGCTCTGCAGTGGATCAGTCAAATGTTCCATCATTTAGTTGTGTGTGCTTATCCAGTGCCAGTGGCTTAACATCTAAGTAGGTTAGCATCACTGAAGGTGAGAATTGTCTGCATTAGTCATCAACTACCTACACATGTGGGTGTGTGCCTGAAACAAAATGTAAATCCCATCATCCTCTCTGGCAATGAATAGGGTTTAAAATGCCCCAGAGAGCAAGCTGAGTGGAGAAATGGGAGGGTTAGTAAGGAGGGACAGAGGCCATCTGGATAATTGGGCGCAGATGTACTCCTGTGTAAACCTAACACCAAGAGTTCCAGACTCATACCCACTGAGCCAAACCCAACCAATTAATCTCTGCAAGGTAATTACTTTCCCATCAGAGAGCAGGGTTTCATAGGCTGCTCCTGCACTGGAGTGTGGAGGTGTGAGTGACCACACCAGACAGTCCATAAACTACCTTTAATATCACAATTAGGGATGGGCCCCGAAGCTCTCCACTCTCTCTGGTCTGCATGGCACATTCTCTCCTGTTTGTTTGCTCTGAAAGTCTCCAGGAATTTCAAGGATGGGGGGAGGGGGACTCCAGAAGGTGATATACAGAGAAAAAACACACAGATTTTGCTTTCAGAGTGAGGGACCTTTTAGCAGCTCCCCCTAGGACAGGTTAACCCTTTCTAATCCTGTAGATTGTTTTTGTCCTCCATTCAGGACTTTTTATATTATTAGTATCAGATTATTTTTTTTTTTAGCTTGTATCAAATATATTTTTCATACCTTTTCTATGTCTGTTTATAATAACAGGTAGGGTTTTTCTGTACAGCTGCATCAATAATCACTGCTATGTAACAGGTTAAAGGACATGAACATGTGCATTTTCCTTTATGAATCTTTAAACGCTGTTTCAATATTTTGATTGAGTATTATTACAAAGAAAAAAAATGACCTTGACAGATGCGGCAAGAGCTCTGACTGCTCTGTCACTGCATAAGACTTTTTTCACATTGAGCTAGAGCTTCTTCAAATATTTTGGAGTATTTTACGCATGTTAGAGGCGTTAGATGTTTTTTGAGTTTCAGCATTTTTTTCTTTAAGCAGTGAAAAGTTGGTTACTAGGAAAATAAAGGCAAGAAATTGGAGAAAAAATGTGTGTTGCATGCGTTTGCAGGTATTCTTCCAGTGCTTCCAGTGAAGTCCATACTGCCCAAAAACTTGTGACTCTGCTTCAGAGAAGCCCATGTGTTTTCAAGCTTCAAGCAACACAACATTCAAAAGTGGTTAGGCACTATTGAATATAATGGAAAACTTGATGTTGAACGTTGAGTGCTTTAGGGGAACATGCTTCAGAATGCTCAGGTGTGAAGTGGACCTTAGTCATGCCATAATTAGCATTTTGTAGAGGTGAGGTAGGTAGTGATACACAGTTGTGAGGGTCCTGGGTACCGAATGCCAACATTTACTGCTCATTCTTTACAATTAATATTAGTAGAACAAATGGTGTTGCACAATTAATACATAGCACAGAAATGTGTTCTGTTGGCAGTAAGAAAGAATGAAAGTCTGCCCTACTCAGCAAGGCCTTTCTTTTCTGTTGATTCAAGGAAAGGTTTACCTATGTTACTAACCGCAAGACATTTTCCTTGACAAACACAGAAGTGTGAGGTGTGCAGTGCTATGACCTGAAATTAGACCTCTTGAAATGTAGTGTCTGTGCATAGTAAACTATATATATGGAGCTGTCCGACCTCCAGCCTATGTGATACACGTGAGTGGTGCTCTTACTATCTTTCAGTTTAATTTAATACTAAACTTAAAATCCTTTTTAAAGGCTGATGCTGTTTTCTGTGCCCTCTGCCCGCACTCCACACAGTGCTGTAAAATATGCACACATCTCAAATGTGTGTTAATAGATGCAGGAGTTTGCTCATACCACCTGCAGTTCATTTACAAGGCTTAGCAAATGCAGCCAGAGTAAATGGCATATACTGATATAAAATTTCCTTGTACTGTGTGTTGTGAATCATTTATGGTAGTTAAATCTCATTTTTATCTATTTTACATTTTTTTTTTTTTTTTTTTTTTTTTTTTTTTAAATAGCACTGGTAAACCATTCAGGGCACAGATTTGTCCCCAAATATCCTTAGTCTAATGTGCCTAACACAGTCATACACATGGATCATCCCAGACCAGCCAATTTGGGTGAAAGCTAGTTAAGGTACCAGTATGTTTTTGGACTAAGAAGGATATTAGAGCACCCAGGGAAAACCCAAGCTAACCTGAACAGAGCATGTAGAATGTGGGGAAGCTCTGATTTCCATCATCCAATCCTGTGCAAGCAAAAATGTGTTTTTTATTCCTTGCACCTGATTGGGTATTCTTTACAAAATTTGAAGAATTCACAAAATTCACTAAGCTCTGGGGAAAATGTGTACAGTCTACTTGCCTTTAGTTAATCAACCCCATTGTCTATATATAGGTCTCAAGACCTCAGTGCTGTGAGTATTAAATACTTTGCCACTAGGTTGCCCCACAAACTCTTACCTGTTGATGGATTTAATTTGCATCCAGTTCTCATGTGCAATACTGAGGGTGTCACCGAGGGTTTAGGTTGTTACCATGCCAAACGGATCTGCTTTTTCATTTCTCTTGCATTTGGTATTAACTAAAATCGTCATTAATGGTATCCTATGTCTAGCCTCTGTAGCATGGCGTACTAAAGTCAAATTCCCCACACAAATGTTTAGGGTGCGTTTGGCATGCGAACATTGTTCACAAAACAAGAAAAAGAATATAAACAATAGCCAGATGGAAAAAAAAATCTTTATTCCAATGAAAGACCTCAAAAGGGGCAAATGCTAACATGGAACACTTGATTTTAAATATTAGAATGAGCAAAAAGATACTGGGCCTTCTTCAGTACTTACATAAAGCATAAAACAGGAGCTCAGGATCCCATTAAAAGCTAGTATAGTTTATTGGAAAAAAAAAATAGCACACTTACATTCAAATTTCTGCAATTCAGCATAGAAGTCAGTAGATTGTTGCACCATTTTGCATCAAATTGCTGTGTGAGGCCGCAGTGGATAATCATAGAGCTGGCAGTAAGGGGACCCGCTCTGGATGACAGATGGTTCAAGCACTAAGAGTGGCATGTACTGCCACCATTATTCCTCGTGGTCACACACTCTACATGCCTCAAAGGGGCGGTAATGTGTTTTGAGGGCGTTCCCTCTTTGTCAAACCAACCTTCAAGGTGACACATTTAGTGGGTGGGGGGATTGCCAAAGAGGGAACACCCTTGAAATGTGTTACCGCTCCTTTGCTACACATAGAGTATTTGACCACAAAAAATAGCAGTGGCAGTATACGCTGCTTTCTGTGCTTGAACCATCACCTAGAGTGAGTCCCCTTACTTCCGGCACTGAGATTATCCACTGCTGCCTCATGTAGCCCTTTGATGCAAAATGGTGTGACCCTCTACTGACCCCTTTGCTGAATTACAGAAACTGAAATGTGACTGTGCTATTTTATTTTTGCAATAAGCTATACCAACTTTTAATGGGGTTCTGCACTCCTGTTTTATGTCTTCTGCCATCCTGGATCAGACCAGATCTTTTTGAAGGTAGCTGCAGGACCCATTTGCTGCTAACACAGACCCTTCTTCTCATTATGATGGTCCACTGTTCCTACACCTGTCACTAGAGGGGTTGTAAGTGGGAGTTTTAACTGTTCGCTAAAGTGCTTGTTCCTCAATACTTATTTACAGTGCTTTAACAGTGCTTGATAATTCTAAGAAGTGCCTATGTTGTTGTCACTGGCCCATATAAACAACTCTTCTTATTACAATACTTCAGAAGGAAATCCTCACATAAAATAAAGCTAAAAGCATGGCTACTACTTTTGTTTTCGTTCTCATAACCTGCAGTTATTAGAAACACAGTGACAGTATTTGTATTGCACAAAAGTACAGTTGATGAAGTATCATGACTACTGTCTGCTTTTGTAGATGGTGGGCTGGTACAGTGTAGTCTGTTATGGGAAAGTTGGCACAGGTTTAACTGTAGCATTGGTTGTTAAACTCCAAAATGCCCCCTGAACTTGCATCTTTAGAATTCTGACATCCTGTTAGACACTCAGATGAACAATGCCATTATCTTGCATTCATTTAGCAAGTACATAGATCAGTATGACCTTTTATATTTTACACAAATATCTGTACATGTACAAGCTTCAGAAAATATCCCATGAATGTTTCTTAGAGTAGATAGCATTCAGGGGCGGACTGACCATTCGAGCACTCTCGCACCACCCGAGGGCCCGGGGTCAGTAGGGGGCCCCATGAAATGCCCCTGGTACCTTTTTTTTATAGGCTTTTTTGAGTGTAGGCAAAGACACGGGCCCCATGATCCCCTATTGCCCGGGGGCCCCATGAGTTGTCAGTCCGCCCCTGATTGCATTATCATTCTGATATGTCCTTTTTAGGGCACTTTCACATGGAGCGGAATCCACTTTGATCAACATGAATTCCGTGAACAGATCCCCTAATAAATCGGAGACAAATGGAACGGATGTCACTTTTTTTTTTACATGCTTGCCTGTTCAGTTTGTGTCCAGCAGACCGGCGATAGCTCTATGGACTCTGGTGTCTGTTTACATCAGGCTACTCCAATTCGTCACATTTAGGCATGGAAAAATGGAAAAGGGTATGCTGTCTTTTTTTTTTTTCCTTTTTTTTTTTTTTTTTTTTTTTTTTATCCCCTTTTTTTTCCCCCTTTTTTTTTTTTGGTTTTTTGGACCTGGTTGGACTCAGAGGTAGGCAGATGTAAACGGACACAAATCTGGTTACATCAGCCTGCTTATAGGGCTGCATGGAGCTCCCAATCAGGTCCACCTGAATAATGGCCAGGCAGACCTGAATAGAAAGCCTATGTGAAAAGGTCCATAAAAGTGTCTTTGTTTTTTTAACTGACTGTTAGTCACCCGTCACACTGCAGTGATTTAAAATCGTGCGATTTGTGTGCGATTTCAAGTGCAATTTCTGAAGACTTTATTTCTACTAGAACTATTGCTACTAGAGCTATTAGAACTACTTTAGAAATCACACTGCAACAAATCGCATATGTTAAGACACTGACATTCATTAGATGCGATTTCAGGTGCGATTTTCAATTCGCAAATCGCACCAGTGTGACTGGGCACTTAAAGACTGTTTCAATTAAAAGTTAAACAGTACCTTTGTTATATTATATTATTACTAGTACCTTATATTTCATCTAAAAATTCCAAATCTCTATTAAAGAGTCCTAAACTGGCTTGACAGATTTCCCCAAAGATGTAAGACTGTGACAGCATAGCTTTTTGTTAATAGAATAATCTATATGTCTGGAAGCAAGTCCAGAGTGCTAGTCCCTAATAGGATCTTCCCACAGAGGGGTGTAGTCTCTCTTGTCAAGTAAAGAAAGCACAAAATGCTTGTGAGATGTACTAATGCATTTCCAAATTCTGTACCAAAAGGACAAATGTACAGAAACAGTGTTTCTCCATTTTCTGTTCCAGAAATGGTGCTATATTATTTTTATGTACAGTAGATATAGGTTGAAGAGGATGCTGTCTTCTTTCAAAGTACCAAACTTGTAACATTTTTTTTACCCTTGCTGACTTGAGCGGAGTTCAATGCTGGAGCACATGTGATGAGCAGGACTGATCGCTCCTCTGCATGCATTTCCAAGTGACAATGAGTTCTGATACTCAGAAGTGCCCATTATTATTCTCAAATATGTAAACCCAACATTTCTTATTCCTGATATATGCCTGCTGTACCATTTACTTGTATGAAAAAGTGTCCTGTTCTTTGTATTGCTTCCTTTGTGTGAAATCCCCAGTGTTCCTGACAGTCCTTTTTGTTTTCCTATCAAACAGTGACCACACTAGGCATGAGAGCACTGCATGGTCAGTACTCTATCTGTGCTGGAAACTCAGCCTGCTTTCCTCCAAGGATCAGACTTGTCCTGACACCCCCTATGTACAGCCATTCACTGGATCACTGGAAAGATCAGTGTACTGCTGTTTCTCACCTAACCCCCCCCCCCCCGAGCTCTCTAAGATCCGTATGCAGCTGAGAGCTGAGAGTATGTGATCACTTTTTAAAAAAGGGGATAAAAGGCATTTATAATATTTGTGTGGGGAAGAAAGGTGTTTATAATTTTTCTTGTATGTATACATAAATGTTTGGCCTTAAACTTTATATTTTAAACAGAATAGGGTTGTTTTACAAGATGGTTCACATATGCTTTTGGTAAATCAGGGTCTTTAAATATGGTTGACATTTGTTTTCCCAAAACTTAATTGCATTGGCTGCTTACAGCAAATTCTTGTGTAGTATTAAGACATTCTAAGGCAGCTGAAATCAGATGATCAGTAGAAATCCAGTACAGAGTCTTAGAAATTATATTTTCAGTTCAATATCTGATAACTTGACCCCTGCAGTGTAATTTGTCTTTCCTTAAACCACATGCTATGACATACAGATAAATGTAGGCTGAGATATTTCCAAGCAGGTTAAAAATATCCCCTAGATTAGAGTCTTGGAGGAGGGTGCTAGCCCAGCATGCCAGAGTATTTATATATCGGCTATTTGTAGTTAGCAGAAACTGACAAACTGGAAAATTTCAGCTGTGCACTAATTTCTTCTTATGTGTTAATTAAAAATTGCTTTTGGTGCCTCACAGACCCATCAGAGAATTCCATGTAATCCACTCTTATTAACTATCTACTTACTAGTATTACATCAGGTAAACCTTTACAAGCAGAAGCTCTTAAAGCTGTGCTGCCCTGGGTTCATCTCTCACACTTTTATCCTGTTTCTGATCACAGACCACCAATGATTGTCTGGCACCTAATAAATAAAATATAATGCTGGTGGAGAGGTTTGTTTAACTAATTAGCCTTGAAGATAAAACCAGGCTTTTTCAATAACCGTCAAAAGGCAGTATATGTAGAGCAGAACCCAATAGCACCCAATAAGCGATTATTGTTTTAACAGTTCTGCCAGCTGTGATAAAAGCTAAAATCTTGGTTGCTATGAATTCCTGTTCATGCATATCCGGAATGCTTCCTGGACATTGCACAATCGGCCACATTAAGCAACAGATTACTATACTATGTACGGTAGTAATGTGCACCCTTCCAACAAGATCAGATGGGAATGCACAGTGTTTAGTGCTTGTGACCCTGCAATAGGAATTCATATTGGCTCCTGATGGTTGTAAGACATGACATGTAGTAGAAGACAAGTATACCAACACTATTCAATGAGGCCAAATACATAATGCACGTTTGGCCACTGGATGGCACTGTTTAATAACAATGTGTAAGGTTTACTACAGCAGAATATGTATAGGAGCGTTACCATAGACGTGGTCTTCATTACACTCCTAGTGATAGCGGTCACATTACAGAATATGTATAGGAGCGTTACCATAGACGTGGTCTTCATTACACTCCTAGTGATAGCGGTCACATTACAGAATATGTATAGGAGCGTTACCATAGAAGTGGTCTTCATTACACCCATAGTGATAGCGGTCACATTACAGAATATGTATAGGAGCGTCCCGTAGACGTGGTCTTCATTAACCCATAGTGATAGCGGTCACATTACAGAATATGTATAGGAGCGTTACCATAGAAGTGGTCTTCATTACACCCATAGTGATAGCGGTCACATTACAGAATATGTATAGGAGCGTTACCATAGACGTGGTCTTCATTACACCCATAGTGATAGCGGTCACATTACAGAATATGTATAGGAGCGTTACCATAGAAGTGGTCTTCATTACACACCCATAGTGATAGTGGTCACATTACAGAATATGTATAGGAGCGTTACCATAGATGTGGTCTTCATTACACCCATAGTGATAGCAGTCACATTACAGAATATGTATAGGAGCGTTACCATAGACGTGGTCTTCATTACACTCCTAGTGATGGCGGTCACATTACAGAATATGTATAGGAGCGTTACCATAGACGTGGTCTTCATTACACTCCTAGTGATGGCGGTCACATTACAGAATATGTATAGGAGCGTTACCATAGACGTGGTCTTCATTACACTCCTAGTGATGGCGGTCACATTACAGAATATGTATAGGAGTGTTACTATAGACGTGGTCTAATTACTGTAGTCATTTTCTTCATTTCACTGATGGTGACTGGGGTCACATTATCAGACTGTGTAGATTCACTGCATTGATATTGATAGCAGATTGAAAGGAGGGCATTCATCTGCCTACTAACATAGTCTGGAAGATTGTAAATATATATCAAACAATATATTCTTCCAAAATTCTGTGTCATCCATACTGTCGTGTCTATGGCACAAACTGCTAGGTGGCATCTTATGGTGTCCATTCCACTTCAACTGGCACCTATCACTTTGAAAGACTGGTAGGTCTGTATAAAGCTCTCTTCAGATAGCCAAACTGCCTACCGCTTTGCCTTGACCCTCTTTACTTGATAGTTTTTTATGTATATACCTGTATTCCAGGTTCTAACCTTCACAACTGCACTTATCACTCAGATTTGACAACTTGCTAAATTTTCATGTGACCTAGCTGATCTTTTAGTCATCAGTAAGTTTTGGACAACTGCAACTACATACTGTGCATGTAGCTTCCTATGGGTAAGCTATACTCAAAGGGACCACTTAAGGCCACCATGATCATGGCTTACCCATAGGAATGAATGGAGTCACAGTGTGCATGCACAGTATGAAAAGGTACTGGCCTAGGATCTTGTCAAAGGAAAGATTACTTAATCTGGAGCAAAAGTTCAGTAGTAAACCAGGTGGGCTGCTCATGGGGTAGAGGATTTATTAAAGGACAACTTCACTAAAGTTTGTCCTTTTAACATTTGTAAATTACAGTGCTACTGCCTTGAGTGATTTGTCTACAATTCTCTGATTTTAATGAAATACCACAAATATGGCAAAATAAGCATTTGATAAGGTGAAATAAAAAATGCTATGAAGTATCCGCTCCATTAATAGTACTCTACACCAATCTCCTGAAACTTGGTGCCTAGTATGCACACAAATGGAGTTCCCAATCTTTATATTCAGTGGTACCTTTACAAAAGAATAAATCCCTAGAGCAGACTCACAATAATTATGACATCCTTGCAAAATTGTTATCCCTGTAGTCATATCCCTTAGATAAGTAATTCCATCCCTGCTCATCAGAATTTAAGATGTAGCTTGATGGGTAGTTCACTACTACACACGTGTTTGTGCTTTCTTATAGAGTGAGGATAACACATGTTCAGGTAATTTAATATGTGACTATCCCCATAGTTTGCATGGCGAATATAAAGCAGTGATTGTCTGCATAAGCTTTTCCCCTGACTACACAATTCCCATGGTTCTCTATGGAGAAAAAAAACGTGTTTACAAACTAAAGTGAAAAACACAGCTGAGTTACCTGGAGGATTTAGCAACACCCACAGGAATTCCATGCTAACTAGGTCACACTGGAGAGCAGTGGGGATGTAACCATGGGCTGTCTCCCTGGGTGTTCAGCAGGATTTGTGTTTGCTGCAGACCTCTCCCACTGGTG